ATTTAAATGAAATTCTTCTTATAAACTGAAATTGAAGTAGCACGTCAAAAATGGATTGCCCATGTGCAACGCTATCTTTCATATTTGTGGCCGGATTTTTACGATTTTAACAGAAGTTGCATCTTACAAATGAGAAATGAATGCAAGTGGAAATGCGCTTTATGTAAATCGTTTACGATTACTTTTTAACTTGTTTATTAGGTTTAGAGGAAGGATTGAAAAGGCGTGGGGCGTGATTGGCCGTCGGTAAACGTCGTTTGCCGCCGCGGACGTAGAGGAGCGGGTCTACGGTTTTAGTTTTACACATCTATTTCGAAGAATGTCGCTTATAAGGTTTGGGGCCGAAAATCATGTTGGCGAATCTGTATTTTGTTACCAATCTACGTTTTCGCAAATATCGCCGTTTTTTATTAGGTTTAGAGGAAGGATTGAAAAGGCGTGGCGCGTGATTGGCCGTCGGTAAACGTCGTTTGCCCCCGCGGACGTAGAGGAGCGGGTCTACGGTTTTAGTTTTACACATCTTTTTCGAAGAATGTCGCTTATAAGGTTGGGGGCCGAAAATAATGTTGGCGGTTTTACAATTACAGAATAAGATATTCTTGGAAAAATTGACGCAATGGTAACCAACGGAACCATCGTCTTTCATTTGAGTAAAATAAAATAATAAAATAAGTAGCTATTGTATTTGGAACACCTTAGCTAACTTTAGAACATGGAGGGGGGGGGACATAATATGTTCTCTTGATGGTATTGTACTGAAAGGTCTCATCGAAATAAATTGGTTTGTTTTCCCGTGCGACTCTTTTTCGAAATCAGTGAGCGATGGGACCTGCGCGGGGGGGGGGGGGGGGGATTAATGTTATCTCTCATCGTATTCTAATTAAAGGTCTCAACGAAAGGAACCGTTTTTCTACCAACTACTGTCCTTTCTGTCACAAGTACGGGGGGGAGGGGAAGGAGAGGGAAGTGGAACTAGATTTATCCATCATGGTACTCTAATGAAAGATCTCAACGAAAGGAATTAATAATAACCGGCCATAGCCCATCCATAATAATCCAATCCGATCCAATAATCCAATTACCACAAATAAAATTAAAAATTCTGGATAAACAAAAAAATACGATCTGGACCTCAGATTAAGATTAATTATAAGTAGTATTTAATACATGTTTGTACTGTCCAGCCAGTCGTAGACTCGGACAGTACAGTACATTGTAAGAGACGCAGCCGGACGGGAGCTGTCGACCTCCCCTTTTTGAAACTGCTCGGGCGCCATTTGTAACGTCCGCTACGTTAGCCCTGGTATGGTTGATAATTTGGGCACGTAGCAGGTCTCTGGGTTTCGGGTAACAGCCAGTTGTAGACTTGGGTTGCGTAGACACAGTACAGTACAATGAGATGACAACTGTTATTTACAATGTACGCAGCCGGATGAGAGCTGTCAACCTTCCCTTTTTGAAAATGTAGCTCTCTTAGGACCCCCCCCCCCTCTCCACCCCTTGCTCGAGTTACCTCCTACAATTTAAATTGGTCGGTTGATAACAGATTGCGTTGAGCCACTCTCTTGCCTGCGATATTATCTAGGTAGAAACGCAAGTGGAAAGGAATCCGGCGCAAAGGACCAAATCGACTGTTAAGAGCAAAGCGGCTAATTTGAAGGTTTGAGGGAGAAATAACGAACTGAGCGAGAACGAGAAATTGAGTTGGACCACTTTCGCGTCCTCAACCGAACGTTATGTTAATTATTCGCGACGGCAGCTGAAGCGGAAAAAAATCGTCAAATATGCACGGCTCTTTCCGTTTTTAACAAAGAGGAAATTCTCGCGCAATATACATAAAATGCCTTACATCATTTTAGCGAAAAAATGCGAAATGTGCAAAACTCGTAGCTATATTGTCGAGACATGCTTTGTCCGCGTTAAAAATTTCCACGAGAACATCCCCTCGCAAACTAACTTCGTACCTTTTTATAGTAACGCGTATCCGACGCGATGGTTGATATTAAATTTCTTTAATGTAAAATCGGCCCCGGAAACCCATCGCGCGAAGATTAAATTTCGCTTCGAGTATGTGTGTTTGGGCGTGCGAGTGAAGAGCACGTGAGCGCTAATTACCTAACTGAAAGTGGGCGGATGAAGAGGCGCGCAATTTTTAAAGGGTTGCAACCCTCATCGCGCGCTAACCTGTTGATGAATGGCATCTTCAATTTTTCGCGTGAGGCGAGTTTTTCCATTTAAATGGACTCGCGCTCCTTGTCTCCCCGGCGAAATTCCCGCAGGAATTTTTCCCCATAACAAGCTTACAAAACCTAAAATTACTCCTCGTGTCCTCGAGTTGAATGATAATTGAACGTTTTCCCCGAAGATCGAAAATAATTTAAAAGAAGTACACGTTTTAAACGGCTTCAACTACATTTTGACGCCCTAATGAATACTTAAGTAAATTGATTTATTTAAATTAGTGTTAGATCAAACTAAGCGAGAACTTCTGATGCTTGTGTAAATAAATTAAGTAATGTAAATTCTGGTATAAACCCAGTACGAGTCAACGTTAACGTATTCAGAGCACACCCCAAGTTTACTAAGTTATGTACACCTACTTGTCCCCAATTTCGAAGACGCTATGTATTTTGTTCGAGAGAGAGAGGGGGAAAAAAAGGTAACGCGTTTCCGGATATCGATACGCTCTTATTTATATATAATCGAATTCAAATTTGCGGAAGATTCTCCCTTAATTATACGAAAAACGAAACACGGCCGCGGGCTCGGTTTCCAATTTCGCAAGTTTCAATCAAACTTCACTTGCATTTGAATATCGGCTAATTGATTACGCTCGGTTAGTTCGACTGCGTAAATAATTTTAGTTCGTTTTTGCACGGTCCCGATATGCAAATTTGTAATATCATCGCCGTCCCGTGCGAAATGATCACGTCTAAATAAAGTGTCACGGCATCTCCGAACGGCTGGATAACGTTGACGTCCTGCTACTTACCTACCTCGAGAAATCCCAAGATAATTACTTCCATCTTACCTAAAACAAAAAAAAACAACGTTAATAAGTTCAATCCCGTTACGATCAAATATAACAGATATTAAAAGTAGAGGATACGCATCCTTTGAAGAATGTAATTAAATAAGCAACCATCGTATTATTCTGTCTTACATTGTACGAAACGAACCGTATGTGAGTAACGTCAATAACTGCCACA